AAAATGGGACTGCATATTAGGAAAGATGGTATGTAGGTTGTCATGGAAACGGGAAATGTAAGGCATTTGTGGACTCTTTCTGGAGAGTCCATCTGGCTAAGGAGAGCAGCCAGATCCAGTAAGGTGAGAGCCAGAGACACAGAGCCTAGCAGAGTGGCCAGCATGGCCAGCATCCGGATGCTAAATCGACACAGGGGGCCAAGGGTAGCCACAAAGAGCTTCGGCTTTGAGCAGTATGTAAGGTTTTTTGTTGTTGTTGTTGTTTTGTTTTTTTAATATTTAGAAATAGCAGATGAGAAAAAAATGATAGAAGAGGAAACTGTACTGGGCAGTGCTGAGTGGTGTGTGTGTGTGTGTGTGTGTGTGTGTGTGTGTGTGTGTGTGTGTATGTGCGCGCGCCCGCGGTCTTCAGTACCTCACCATCTTGTCGATACAAAGCCCATGTAAACCAGACTCAGACCCACAGTACTAATCCCAGCACTGAGGAGGCTGACTCAGAAGGTTTGCTGCACATTTTAGGCCAGTCTGGGGTACACAGCAAATTCCCAGGCATCCTGGGCTATCGAGTTAAGACCTTGTTCCAAACAAACAGACTTGTTTACATTTTTAAAAAAAATGTAAGAGCCAGGGTTGGTGGTGGCGCACGCTTTTAATCCCAGCACTCGGGAGGCAGAGGCAGGCGGATCTCTGTGAGTTCGAGGCCAGCCTGGGCTAAAGAGTGAGATCCAGGATAGGCACCAAAACTACACAGAGAAACCTGTTTAAAAAAAAAAAAAAGAACGTAAGTCTGGATGAACATTCACACACACACATATCTTGGTATGGTTTGAGTGTGAAATGCCCCTGACCAGCTCATGTGTTAAAACACTTGGTCCTTGGGGGTGGGACTGGTTCAGGAGGCTGTGAAACCTGTAAGACAACAGTTCTCAACCTTCCTAATGCTGTGGCCCTTTAATACAGTTCCTCACATTGTGGTCACTCCCCAACCATAAAATTATTTTTGTTGCCGGGCGGTGGTGGCTCACGTCTTTAATCCCAGCACTCGGGAGGCAGAGCCAGGCGGATCTCTGTGAGTTCGAGGCCAGCCTGGGCTACCAAGTGAGTCCCAGGAAA